TTCCTGAATGATCACTGGAAGCTGAGGATAAACGTCCTTAAACTTGGCTTCTTTCTCATAAGGTGGGGGTGTTTTTGCTGAATCCATATATGAGAAAGGTGTATTAACTTCTGCAATCAGTTTTTCTGTCACCTTCACCTCTTTTGCCATTTTCTCTGCACCTCTGTCTCTCTTATCTTTTGTGTCTTTTATCAGTTTTTGTCCTTCATTTTCAAAAAGCTTAAGAACACCCAGCTCTCTTTGTCTTTTTTCTTGACGAAGTTTTCCTTTCTTCCCCTTCTTTTGATCTGTCTTATACGTGGATACAAGCACTTGCATTATCTTGATGACGTCTGGATTAAGTGTGCCTTCCAATGGCCATGGTTGTTCAATGTCAGGCCAACGTTTATTCCATTTTTCAGATAATTTTGCTATACCATTAACTAGTGGATTACTATTCTGTACTACATGAAGAGGAGTAATTGCTTTTGTAGTTTTGATGTCCTTTTTTCCCATTGTAATGCACTTGTTATGTGTTACCCTCTAGTTTTCCCCTTTTTTTTTTTTTTTTTTTTTTTTTTTTTTTTTTAATTAAAAAATAATTAATCAATTAATCCAATCAATCAATTAACCAATTCAAATCAATACATCAATCAACCAATTCAATCAATCAATCAATCAATCAATAAATTCAATCAATCAATGAAATCAAATCAATCAGTCAATCAATTACTAATGAAATCAATCAATCAATTAATCAATCAATTACCAATGAAATCAATCAATCAATTAATCCAATCAACAAACTAACCAATCAAATCAATCAATGGATTACCAATCAATCAAATCAATCAATGAATTACTAATCAATCAAATCAATCAATGAATTACTAATCAATCAAATCAATCAATGCAACCAATCAAATCAATAAACTAATCAAATCAATAAATCAATCAACTAATTTAATCAATCAATCAATCCAACCAATCAACTAATCAATTACTAATCAAATGAATCAATCAACAATAAATCAATCAACTAACTTAATCAAATCAATCAATAAACTAAGTAATCCAATCAAGTCAATCAATCAACAAATCAAATCAATAAATCAATCAACTAACCCAATCAAATCAATCAATCAACTAAGTAATCCAATTAAGTCAATCAATCAACAAATGAAATCAATAAATCAATCAAACAACCCAATCAAATCAATCAATCAACTAAGTAATCCAATTAAGTCAATCAATCAACAAATCAAATCAATAAATCAAATAATGAATTACTAATTATTCTGTGAATTTTATTTTACCAAATTATTGATTAGTGGCAATCTTACCACATCCGATGAGGAAGAGTAAAGGAAAGTAGTCAACTCCAGAGCAATTCAAAAATAAAATACCTGTACCAGCAACACTACCCAATTGCTTAATAAGCAATTAATTACCTTAATTTTACAGAATAATTTCAATGCTGGAATTCCAACACAACTCTAATCAAAACAAGTCATTGACAAAAACTGTAATGTGCAATTATCAATTACATAAATTCATCAGTCTGTTGCCAAGCTCTTGCGAAATGGTCACAACATGGAATATTCTATGTAAACACAATGTATCAATTATATCCTGTGAGGGAAAGTAGATTTGTGAATAATAACAGCACTGGCCTTAATTTGGACTGGGTTGCCGTCTCTGATGTCAGTTGATGTCAGCCCCTCCTCTCTCTCTCTCTCTCTCTGTCTCCTCCTTCTCGTCTCTCGTATGACAGAAGGACAAAAGGAGAAAGAAGAGTTTAGTTTATAGTCTTTCCACATTCACGCTAAGAAATAAGCAAACAGCTTAACTCAGGAATATTATAAATAGCTCAATAAGATTTTATTTTATTCATTTATTTTAGTATTATTATTTTTAATCCGTCAATATATCTCTCATTCACCAACTCAACCGATTATCAACCAAACAGTTTTACAGTCAAGCAATAGTTAATTCAAAAGAAGATTTCACTTGTGTGCAAAATTCCCCCTCCCGTTGTCTTTTTTGGCTGCACTGAAGTGGACTCTCCCAATCAGTTCAGTGCAGGGGAGTGGCTAAAGTCATAAATCCTACGCGTGCGCAGTTCAGTCACCAATGTGATTTCAGAGTGTAAGGACCTATAAACAGACCCGCTGTTGCTCCGGTCTCTCCTCCCATAGACAATAACACTGAAGACTTTAACAGAGCTCACAAACTGAACACATAGAACATACAAGACATACAATAAGACTTAAGACATTAACAGAGCTCACAAACTGAACACATAGAACATACAAGACATACAATAAGACTTCTCACAAACTGAACACATAGAACATACAAGACATATCCAACTTCGAAGTTTGTTATCACTTATCTGCAGATTTATAGTAATGACGTTATGAAATATAAAACATCTCTATACACTCTTAGAAAGTCCTCCCTGTAGGCTCATGATTCGTTAGTAAACGTTCTCTTTTTATAGAGACTCATAAGATCTTTAAACTTATAGTCCTTCCAGGGGGCTCATAGTTTATATAGTTTAAGAATTACAAACGTTCTCACAAACAGAGACTCATAAGATATTTAACCTTAACTGTGTTGTAGGGGTTTTAACTTTTTACTCTAGGGGCTTAACATTTGAAAAGATAAATACCTAAGACATTTATTTACAAGAGACTAAAAAACTCTGGTCAAAGCCTTAGTCGACACACATCTGGAAGTCATCAAGCACGCAGCCACACTCACTCTTGTTTCGCACACACATGCTGACAGAGAAATGCGCTTTTCTCATTTCAGACACACACACAGAGAGAAATTGGATCCATCTATCGCCGTTGTTATTACTTTATATTCCATTTGCTAAATTTCTGCTACCTTCCGGTTTTAGACATTCAAAAGAGAGGATTACTTCAGACAGATGTTTCGTCAAACAAATTCAGAGCGGTAAACTTACAATTGAATATATTGTCTTAAACCAGCAGTCCCGAGAACTGACTTGAGAGTTAATGTAATAACTATCAAGATTTATGGCCCATCTCTAATGATCGCCTCGTTTGAGGGCTTCCTTAAATTAACGGCGCCCTAAAAGTATACTGTCAACTCATTTCAAACGTTATCCTCTAAGCCTTTCCTTGGACACTCCTTGCACTTTTATTCAAGCCAAAACATCGGTGTCCTGTCGGTGTGTCCTACAGACACTCAAACTAATTTAGAAAATTTAGAACGGAATTCCTATCACACAGCAAAAAGAACCAGCAAAATGCACGCATAAGTAATTTTAACGGTACATCTCTAACGCACACACTCTGGACTCACAAAACGACCAGCGCCCAATGATTTAGTGATAAAAAACTTACCCTTAGTTGCCGGCTTCCTGAGAGGTAGTCGTTTTGTAGCCCAGGAATGGAATGCAAAGAAGAGACATAGCACGTCCCAAAGAACAATAAAACAAAAACCTCGTCGCCATTAAATGTGGTTACTAAAAGAAACACTTTTGCTGGTCCATGCTGTAATGATAAGGAAGATCCGCCGACACTGTACTCTGTTTTCAAAGGTTTATTATAACAAAGGTTCCAGCATCAGAATTTGACAGACTCCTGCAGATGTCTGGAAAACAGCCCGAGCCAATCTGATTAGCTATTCTTCCTTCTCTGTTCAAGACATGGCATTTATATCATACATGGCCAGAGCATGGCGTGATTCTAACATCCAATCCCTGGTCTTTTCTACCTTACTCCTCATATCATATTTCCATAAGTAATGATTTCCAGATGTTTCCAGCAATGTAGAATAGAGTTACCTCATTTTGCCACATCAGCAAAATCTTAGGGCCACGTTTCCTACTTTATCTAGACTGTTTAAGATACTACACACGTAAACACAGTTCACTTTCATAGCAACCACGTTGTATTCCTTCACGCATTTGCACGCTCTCCTCCTCTCACCTTTTCCCTTCGCTTGTGGACTTCAATGCACAACACATAAGCTGTATGTGCCCAGTTGAAAAAACATTTCTAAGCCAAACCATATCATAACCGTTACACACAGCCTACATCATTGTCACCATATTAGGTAAAGTAACGTTATAGTCAACATACACTACCAGTCAAAAGTTTGGACACACCTACTCATTCAAGGGTTTTTCTTTATTTTAACTATTTTTTACATTGTAGAATAATAGTGAAGACATCACAACTATGAAATAACACATATAGAATCATGTAGTAACCAGAAAAGTGTTAAACAAATGAAAATATATTTTATATTTGAGGTTCTTCAAATAGCCACCCTTTGCCTTGATGACAGCTTTGCACACTCTTGGCATTCTCTCAACCAGCTTCATGAGGTAGTCACCTGAAATGCATTTCAATTAAGAGGTGTGCCTTCTTAAAAGTTAACTTTGAAAGTTTCTTCAATTTTACAATTACAATTTAGTCATTTAGCAGACGCTCTTATCCAGAGCGACTTACATGAGCAATTAGGGTTAAGTGCCTTGCTCAAGGGCACATCGACAGATGTTTCACCTAGTCGGCTCGGGGATTAGAACCAGCAACCTTTCGGTTACTGGCACAACGCTCTTACCCACTAAGCTACCTGCCGCCCTACCTGCCGCCGCTTCAAGTGCAGTCACAAAAACCATCAAGCGATATGATGAAACTGGCTCTCATGAGGACTGCCTATATCTATTTTTTAAAATACGAAAACTTGAAGGGCCAAATAAAACCACCCACGGGCCGCCAGTTGGGGAACCCTGCCCTATGGCAGCCACAGGGACTGGTTATATTTGTGTCAGAGTTTAATTTAATCCTACAGCTGTACTGCTACTGTTAACTTCTTCTCACAACACAGAGTGTGATCAGCACTCCTGAAATGTTCATGCAACAAATATGGCAACGTGCTATTGCCCTACGCTCGTGGACCTCAGTCTGGTTATTATTTGAATCATGATGAATTCATGTAATTAAAGGTTTGAACAAGGCAATACATTTTTTTCTCATAAAATGGTGTTCATTGTCAGTGTGTGTGTGTTTTAATAATTACAATTCCTCTCAAATTCCAAATTCACATTATTTTCTTTGATTATTATCAATCAAATTATTAGTATTATGTTTTGAATGTTCCACTCTCTGTATGATGTTTACTGTGCCAGTGTAACTACAATGAACAAAAATATAAATGCAACATGCAACAATTTCTAAGATTTTACTGAGTTACAGTTCATATAAGGAAATCTGTCAATTGAAATACATTCATTAGGCCCTAATCTATGGATTTCACATGACTGAGAATACAGATATGCATCTGTTGGTCACAGATACCTTTAAAAAGATGGTAGGGGCGTGGATCAGAAAAGCAGTCAGTATCTGGTGTGACCACCATTTGCCTCATGCAGCGCGACACATCTCCTTCGCATAGAGTTGATCAGGCTGTCGCTGGATATTGGCGGGAACTGGAACATGCTGTCGTACACGTCAATCCAGAGCATCCCAAACATGCTCAATGGGTGACATGTCTTGTGAGTATGCAGGCCATGGAAGAAGTGGGATATTTTCAGCTTCCAGGATCCTTGCGACATGGGGTTGTGCATTATCATGCTGAAACATGAGGTGATGGCGGCGGATGAATGGCACGACAATGGGCCTCAGGATCTCGTCAAGGTATCTCTGTGCATTCAAATTGCCATTGATAAAATACAATTGTATTCATTGTCCGTAGCTTATGCCTGCCTATACCATAACCCCACCGCCACCATGGGGCACTCTGTTCACAATAACATCAGCAAATCGCTCGCCCACACGACACCATACACTCTGTCTGCCCAGTACAGTTGAAACCGGGATTCATCCGTGAAGTATGAAAATGTATACACTCACTAACTGTAAGTCGCTCTGGATAAGAGCGTCTGCTAAATGACTAAAATGTAAATGTAAATATGAAGAGTACACTTCTCTAGCGTGCCAGTGGCCATCGAAGGTGAGCATTTACCCACTGATGTCTCCCGAGTGGCGCAGTGGTCTAAGGCACTGCATCGCAGTGCTAGCTGTGCCACTAGAGATCCTGGTTCGAATCCAGGCTCTGTCGTAGCCGGCCGCGACCGGGAGACCCATGGGGCGGCGCACAATTGGCCCAGGGTAGGGGAGGGAATGGCCTGCAGGGATGTAGCTCAGTTGGTAGAGCATGGCGTTTGCAACGCCAGGGTTGTGGGTTCGATTACCACGGGGGGCCAGTATGAAAAATATAAAAAATAATGTATGCACTCACTAACTGTAAGTCGCTCTGGATAAGAGCGTCTGCTAAATGACTAAAATGTAAATGAGGTTTACGACACCGAATTGCAGTCAGGTCAAGACCCTGGTGAGGACAACGACCATTCAGATGAGCTTCCCTGAGACGGTCTCTGACAGTTTGTGCATAAATTATTCAGTTGTGCAAACCCACAGTTTCATCAGCTGTCCGGGTGGCTGGGCTCAGACGATCCCACAGGTGAAGAAGCCGGATGTGGAGGTCCTGGGCTGGTGTGGATACACATGGTCTGCAGTTGTGAGGCCAATTGGATGTACTGCCAACCTCTCTAAAACTACGTTGGACGTGGCTTATGGTAGAGAAATTAACATAAAATTATTTGGCAACAGTTCTGGTGGACATTCCTGCAGTCATTATGCCAATTGCACACTCCCTCAAAACTTGAGACATCTGTGGCAGTGTGTTGCGTGACAAAACTGCACATTTTAGAGTGGCCTTTTATTGTCCCCAGCACAAGGTGCACCTGTGTAGTGATCATGCTGTTTAATCAGCTTCTTGATATGCCACACCTGTCAGGTGGATGGATTATCTTGGCAAAGGAGAAATGCTCACTAACAGGGATGTAAACAAATGTGTGCACAACATTTTAGATAAATAATATTTTTGTACGTATGGAAAAATTGTATTTCAGCTCATGAAACATTGGACCAGCACTTTACATGTTGTGTTTATATTTTTGTTCAGTGTAGTAAAGGGCAGATGTTCTTTCACATATCAGAACCCCCCCCCCACCCCCACCCGTGGTGCCTCTACAAAAGCCATTATCTTCTGTAAATGGCATCAAATTGACTTTTAAGTTGATCTAATGAGAAATAAACCCCACAAAGGCAACGCAAAAATTATATTATTTACTAAATGAGAATTATGATTATAGAAATTATAGTTCTTACTTGGGGGTAAAAGTATGACTAATGTCTACTGCCTCTGCAAATTTTTCAGTCAATTGTTATTTAGACACACTCTGCAACAATGTTTTACTTAGAAAAGGAAGGCCTGATACACACATTTTTTTATTTTTTTATTTCACCTTTATTTAACCAGGTAAGCCAGTTGAGAACAAGTTCTCATTTACAACTGCGACCTGGCCAAGATAAAGCAAAGCAGTGCGGTAAAAACAACAACAACACAGAGTTACATATGGAATAAACAAAACGTACAGTCAATAACACAATAGAAAATCCATATACAGTGTGTGCAAATGTAGTAAGTTATGGAGGTAAGGCAATAAATAGGCCATAGTGCAAAATAATTACAATTATAATTTAGTATTAACACTGAAGTGATAGATGTGCAGAAGATGATGTGCAAATAGAGATAATGGGGTGCAAATGAACAAAATAAATAACAATGTAAATAACAATATGGGGATGAGGTAGTTGGGTGAGCTAATTACAGATGGGCTGTGTACAGGTGCAGTGATCGGTAAGCTGCTCTGACAACTGATGCTTAAAGATAGTGAAAGAGATAAGTGTCTCCAGCTTCAGAGATTTTTACAGTTGTCAAAACAGATTTACACACTGGTGGTACTTTTGGAAAGAAAGTAGTTTAAATTGGCTGTTAGTGCCAGTGATTGGCTGCTTGACCATGGCGTCATAGACATTTATTGGACATTCATGTGTTTAGTTGTGGTTTTGGACCAGGCTCAGCCAAGCTCAGAGTGGTCAAGCTTCGATGGATTGTGATTGAGGTGGCTATCTAGGGCCTGTGTGCTTTTGTTTATGTGTGTGTGTGCGAGTATGCAGGCCTGAGTGTGTGTCTTTGTGTGTGTGTGTCTTTGTGTGCGTGTGAACTCTCCCTCAGATTACAGATAAGGCTATGCTCTCTGACTTGGTCTTTGGCTGGAGGAGATTAGGTAGAATGTCAATGCTATCTTCAGATTGTGTTCTTGAGTTAAATTAACAAGTATCCAAATACCAGAGGTATTTTAGAATTAGAAACTATATATTTAATCTAAAATGTACTTGTTGGTATTGTCACCCTGCTGTCAGTAGCAGTTGCTGAACAACACTGTCAGCGGTCGTTCACAGGTATGTAGATGTCATGTGTGGGGTGCAGCTGTGTGAATCTTTCTGCATTGAGAACAGAGTAGTTATTAATAATATCACAGGGAAGGAAGGAACACGGTGCCCTTCCTCCCTGCTGAAACACTCTCAACAGCCAGCCTGCCTGCCAGCCTCTGTTCTCTGGATCATGTGCCAGCGCTGATCCCTCCCCATCCTAAAGTCTTCGAAGTTGTTATTTCTTTATTTTTTTCTATTTTTATTGGCTGGGAGAAGAAGACATAACTATTTTTGGGTAAGGTCTCTATGGCAACAGCGAGCAGGGGTACAGTCACAGCATCGGAGGCTGACAGTAAACAGCTGTGTGGAGCTCTAGTGGTTCTGGAGCTCTGCCGCTCCTCTTAAGGTCTACTCTACATGAACACCATTATATACACAGTATGTCACCTGTCATTACCACTCACTTCAGCTCATTTCATCTTATGACAACTATATTTGAAAGATAATTTCCCTTTTCTTCTCCAGCTCTTCTGTACGCCACCATCTTTGGAAATGTGACCACCATCTTCCAGCAGATGTACGCTAACACCAATCGCTACCATGAGATGCTGACCAACGTGAGGGACTTCCTCAAGCTCTACCAGGTGCCCAATGGGCTGAGTGAGAGGGTGATGGACTACATCGTCTCCACATGGTCCATGTCCAAGGGCATTGACACTGAGAAGGTGAGCCATGGTCCTGAGTTTGGACCCAGGAGTGATAAGTTCTAACAACACCCGGGCTTCCTGGGGTTAGAGCACAGATACAGTAGTGGGTATGGTTATGAGATACCTGCAGAAAACTTGTAGAACTCCCATTAGATTCTAATGTATGGGAATATACAATGCCTCAATGGCTCAGTACGATGGTGAAAACCATACTATACCATGCAAAGTAATACAAACAACCTTCTCCAAAGCCTGATTACCAGGTGTCTGTCTGTCCCCATCTCCAGGTGCTGTCCATCTGTCCTAAGGACATGCGGGCTGACATCTGTGTCCACCTGAACCGGAAGGTGTTCAATGAACACCCAGCATTCCGCCTGGCCAGTGACGGCTGCCTGCGATCGCTAGCCGGGGAGTTCCAGACCATCCACTGCGCCCCCGGGGACCTAATCTTCCATGCTGGGGAGAGCGTCGACACCCTCTGCTTCGTGGTGTCGGGGTCACTGGAGGTCATCCAGGACGATGAGGTCATCGCCATTCTAGGTGAGCAGCAGAGTGCATCATGGCCTCTTACTCCTGTTTCCACACCAACTTATTGATTAGTTCTTTAGTTTGTCTGTGGATGATGTTGTTTCAGCAGTTTGGCTTATACCTTGTCAACTCAAACAGAAGAAAAAAAAAAAAACAGATATACAGTCTAAAGATACTGCATATAAAGACAGAAAGAAGAGAGCGACATAAGAGACAGAGTTGGAGACCAGCAGAGGGAGATTAGCAGTGTGACAGAGAGAAAGATAGGAGTCATTCTTCATTGTCACAGGCTGTAGTGCAGGTTGGTGTTTCCGGAGGCTCTTTTATTGGTTTCCCACTTCCTTAACACTAGAACCACCAAGACGGTCAATCTGACCCTTTTCAATTTTGTAATTTCAATAACTTAATTTCAACAAAAACCTTGAACCCATTTGTCTCTGACTTTTCCTAAATATGTGTTTTTTACACTCTAGAGGGTGTTATGATAAATATCATAAAAGACACAAACTTTCTGAAAATTTCATCCTCACAGCGCCATGACGGTCAAAATGACCGTATGCATATTTAATAGTAGAATAGCCGGGCCTCGAGGAGTACCAATAGCCACCAGTTTAATACATTCATTTAACTAGAAAAGCCTGGCCCCCAATGTTATTTGGTTTTGTTTATGTAGGTCTGTAAATATTTGAAAGAACATAAAAACATTTTCATTAGTTTGTTACTGTAGGCTTAAACACAGAAATTTAAGTGTAAAAGCTATGAAACAAAAAGCAGGTGCGTTGGAACACAGTAAAAGCTTATTTTTATAATACCAAAACAAATACAAATACCCAAACCACAATTAAGAACATATCATAGATATCAGTAGCCTAAGCATCAGAATAAGCGCCAAGCATGCTTATGAATAGGGAAAATCAGCACAAAGGCAATAATGGCATTATAATGAATATAAGTGTCGATATGACAGCGGTCAAAAATAGTCCATTATTGTCAGTTATTGGACACATTATTTGTGGCCTCGATCGTGCTTACAGTATAGTGTGCATCTTCACGCAACAGTTGGATCTCATTTAGCTGTTATCCCTTGTCCTAACAGTCGCCACAAATCTTCGCCACTTTCACTTGATTGCAACACTTCCCACAAAGAAGTCTCTTGCAGCTGAAACAGGTGTCGCGGGTTCAGTTCTGCCTTGCGTGGAATCTTTGCTGCTGCCTTGGCCTTCATATGTCTGTCATATAGCCCGTGTGCCAGACTCATGATGAAGTCTCTCCTGCTATTGGTTAAGGTTCATCCACTGCTTGAACAACACGTGTGCGTTGATAGCAGCCAAGTCAAGCATGTTGTAGAACACAGTAACAGGCCAGCACCTAGCTCATCCTTTCACCTAGTACAGCCGTGCCATCTGATCCGAAACATTATCCGACACTCGCTCATCTGCTGCCCAATATGGATCCTTTCCCAGATATGGAAAGCCGTTCAGCATTATAGAGTAGACTAATAAGACTGTGGACTGATATACACTACCAGTCAAAAGTTTGGACTCACTTACTCATTCAAGGGTTTTTCTTTATTTTTAAAATGTTTTACATTGTAGAATAATATGGAATCACGTAGTAACCAAAAAAGTGTTAAACAAATCAAAATATATTTTATATTTGAGATTCTTCAAATAGCCACCCTTTGCCTTGATGACAGCTTTGCACACTCTTGGCATTCTCTTAACCAGCTTCATGAGGTAGTCACCTGGAATGCATTTCAATTAACAGGTGTGCCTTCTTAAAAGTTAATTTGTGGAATTTCTTTCCTTCTTAATGCGTTTGAGCCAATCAGTTGTGTTGTGACAAGGTAGGGGGGTATACAGAAGATAGCCCTATTTGGTAAAAGACCAAGTCCATATTATGGCAAGAACAGCTCAAATAAGCAAAGAGAAACGACAGTCCATCATTACTTTAAGACATGAAGGTCAGTCAATACGGAACATTTCAAGAACTTTGAAAGTTGCTTCATGTGCAGTCGCAAAAACCATCAAGCGCTATAATGAAACTGGCTCTCATGAGGACCGCCACAGGAATGGAAGACCCAGAGTTACCTCTGCTGCAGAGAAAAAGTTCAATATTATTTATTTAATTGTACCTTTATTTAACTAGGCAAGTCAGTTAAGAACAAATTCTTATTTACAATGACGGCCTACACCGGCCAAACCTGGACGACGCTGGGCCAATTGTGCGCCACCCTATGGGACTCCCAATCACGGCCGGTTGTGATGGAATCGAACCAGGGGGTCTATAGTGATGCCTCAAGCACTGAGATGCAGTGCCTTAGACCGCTGCGCCACTCGGGCTTGCCTCAGAAATTGCAGCCCAAATAAATGCTTCATAGAGTTGAAGTAACAGACCCATCTCAACATCAACTGTTCAGAGGGGACTGTCTGAATCAGGCCTTCATGGTTGAATTGCTGCAAAGAAACCACTACTAAAGGACACCAATAAGAAAAAGAGACCTGCTTGGGCCAAGAAACACGAGCAATGGACATTAGACCGGTGGAAATTTGTCCTTTGGTCTGTTGTCCAAATTTGAGATTTTTGGTTCCAACCGCCGTGTCTTTGTGAGACGCGGTGTGGGTGAGCGGATAATCTCTGCATGTGTTGTTCCCAACGTAAAGCATGGAGGAGGAGGTGTTATGGTGTGGGGGTGCTTTGCTGGTGACACTGTCTGTGATTTATTTAGAATTCAAGGCACACTTAACCAGCATGGCTACCACAGCATTCTGCAGCGATACGCCATCCCATCTGGTTTGCGCTTAGTGGGACTATCAATTGTTTTTCAACAGGACAATGACCCAAAACACACCTCCAGGCTGTGTAAGGGCTATAATCTAACCTCAAAAAGCACTAATCGCTCAGCACTAACAATATGATGCAAAACACAGGGGGGGAAAAACATTTTGACTGAACTGGGCCTTTAACATTGTTGATGGTAAGTTATGAGGACTACTAGAGACAAGTTGGTGTACTTACAAGTCAGTGTAAAACATTAAGATCTGTCACACGCCTCATTTGGTGCGATGAGAGAGAGAGAGAGTTAAAGAGAGAAAGACCCCTCTGATTTCCCCTGGCTAACACTAAGCTAACTCTGAGCTTTGGAACCTCTCTCTCTTCCTCATTAACAGCCCAGCAGCAGAGGAGAGGAGAGGCTTGCAACACTCCCACTGTACCAAGCCTATACTTGGACAACCTGCAGAAACACACACTTTTAATAATCCACTCCACTGGCCACAGGGCTACAGCAACTTTCCATCTTCCATCGCTATCCACATTCTCTGGGATTTATGAAACAACATTCCAGCGGCCTTATCAGTTTATAATTTTTTCCTCTCTTCTGGCTTTGTTGTGTTTCACGAAACGATGATCTGATAAATGTCTTAACCCATTATTCATGCTGCATTATGAGAATGGGATATTAGTGGGGAAAAGTATTCAAACAGCAATATGTTCTGGCCCAGTGAGCTGAGTGGATCTGCAGTAAGCTGAGGAAGTTGAGACTGTATCAGTCCGCCTCAACACTGTGCCTCAGTCACAGAGATCTGCTGGCTTCTATAGAGCTATAGTTGTTACTCTGACCACCATTGATCACACAGACAGGAAAAACATTAAACACTGAATTCACTCCCATCCACCTCCACTAAGGATGATTGTACTGTAATAGTAGTGCTGTATTGATCTCCAACCACAGACAGTAATACACCTCCTCTTAGGTTAACCCTGACCTCTAGCTCCTCTAGAGCCACCAGGCTGATCTCTCTAAACGTCTCCCCATATCTGCTCCATGTTGCATTTCTCAGGGGGGTTCATTCTAGATGTACCCAGGACACAAATATCTCCATTTCTCTTTCTCCTCTCTCAGGTAAAGGAGATGTGTTTGGCGATGTGTTTTGGAAAGAGACCACTCTTGCACACGCGTGTGCTAACGTGCGGGCGCTGACGTACTGCGACCTGCACATCATCAAGAGAGAGGCACTGCTCAAGGTTCTGGAGTTCTACACAGCCTTCGCTAATTCTTTCTCACGCAACCTCATCCTCACCTGCAACCTACGCAAACGGGTAAGACTTAAACAGTGACACACACACGCACAAACACACACACGCACTCCGACAACTACGTGTCACTCCTTCTCCTTCTTCCTCCCTCTTCTGTAACCTATTTTCTCATCTGAAACTTTAGCAGAGCTTTTTTATTGCTTTTCTCCTTGTCTGCTGATATGTTAGTTCTCCCATCACTCATGAGGGATCTCTGGAATGTAATTTTCACATTATTAGGGTATTAATTCTAAAGGTATTGATTGTGTCTTTTCTCAGAGCCACTTTCACAGAATGGATTCGGAAAGTATTCAGACCCCTTCCCTTTTTCCACATTTTGTTTACGTTACAGCCTTATTCTAAAATGAATTCAATCAAAAAATGTCTGTCATCAATCTGCACACAATACCCCATAATGACAAAGCGAAAACAGGTTTTTTGAAATGTTTGCAAATGTCTAGCAAATAAAAAACAGAAATACCTTATTTACGTAAGGATTCAGACCCTTTGCTATGAGACTCTAAACTTAACTCAGGTGCATCCTGTTTCCATTGATCATCCTTGAGATGTTTCTACAACTGTGGTAAATTCAATTGATTGGACATGATTAGGAAAGGCACACACCTGTCTATTTAAGGTTCCACAGTTGACAGTGCATGTCAGAGCAAAAACCAAGCCATGAGGTCCCCAAGAACACAGTGGCCTCCATCATTCTTAAATGGAAGAAGTTTGGAACCACCAGTACTCTTCTTAGAGCTGGCCGCCCAGCCAAACTAAGCATTCGGGGGAGAATGGCCTTGGTCAGGGAGGTGACCAAGAACCCGATGGTCACTCTGACAGAGCTCCAGACTTCCTCTGTGGAGATGGGAGAACCTTCCAGAAGGCCAACCATCTCTGCAGCACTCCACCAATCAAGCCTTTATGGTGGAGTGACCAGATGGAAGCCACTTCTCAGTAAAAGGCAGATGACAGCCCGCTTGGAGTTTGCCAAAAGGCACCTAAAGGACTCTCAGACCATGAGAAACAAGATTATCTGGTCTGATGAAACCAAGATTGAACTCTTTGGCCTGAATACCAAGCGTCATGTCTGGAGGAAACCTGGCACCATCCCTACGGTGAAGCATGGTGGTGGCAGCATCATGCTGTGGGGATGTCTTTCCCTCGATACTAGTCAGGATCGAGGGAAAGATGAACGGAGCAAAGTACAGAGAGATCCTTGATGAAAACCTGCACCAAAGTGCTAAGGACCTCAGCCTGTGGCGAAGGTTCACCTTCCAACAGAACCACGACCCTAAGCACACAGCCAAGACAACAGAGAAGTGACTTCGGGACAAGTCTCTGAATGTCCTTAAGTGGCCCAGCCAAAGCCCGGACTTGAACCCGATCTAACATCTCTGGAGAGACCTGAACATAGCTGTGCAGTGACACTCCACATCCAACCTGACAGAGCTTGAGAGGATCTGCAGAGAAGAATTGGAGAAACTCCCCAAATACAGGTGTGCCAAGCTTGTAGCGTCATGCATGCATGTGTGTGAGTACATGTGTGTGTCGAACTGGCACTATATGGCTGGGCCAATGTGTGTGTGATTTGGTACCATGGGGTGAATGTGTGTGTGTTTGTGTGTGTGTGTTTTTGGTTTTACTATCCTTGTGGGGAAAAAGGCTATTTTAGGCTTAGAGGTTAGGGTTGGGGCTAAGGTAAGGGTTAGGGTTAGGTTTATGGTTAGTGGTTAGGGAAAATAGGATTTAGAATGAAAATCAATTGTTTGGTCCACACAAGGATAGTTGAACATGCCTGTGTGTGTGCGTGTGTGTGAGAGAGCGAGCTGGTACCATGGCTGGTGCTTGGGAGTATATGTAGTGATGAGCTGGTGTGATGGAGCACTGATTGAGCTCCATCTCCATGACCCATAACCTTATTAGTCACAATGCAGAGTGTGAGGCAGATGATGACGGCTAGTATTTGGATCATCGCTGGTCCTGTACTGAGGCAGGTCTGCTTGCTATTCTTTTCCTGGAGCTCGTGACATACTATAGGTCTCTCATTCAGTCCATTAGTGGCTGTGGCCGGTGGGGATAAATCTGTGCATTTGTTTTGTTGCTAGTATTTCAGCAGATACAGTATACTTTCTTAACTTGCAAAACCTTTCCCTTTCTCATATAATCTCATAATAGAATACTTTGTGGGAATGCAGAAGCAAATAATCACGCTATTGTCTTTTTGATAAAAAGAAAAAACTAAATAATTAATGTATTTTAACCCTTTTAAATCTAATTAGCATAATACAAACATCAGTTTTTTCCATGGACAGTGTTTCAATCCACCGCATCCGCCAATTGCGGCCTTACACATCTCCCGTGGGAGGTGGCCGAGCTACAGCGGTGTTTGTCAGACCATTAGACGTCCCGAAAATTGGTCTTCTCACGAAAACTTCTGTAATGTCTGACCGTTTTGGCCTACAAACTAATATAACCCCTCTATGGAAAGATGAGACTCGTACATATCGGTGCCTCACAAGTCTGAGCATTAAGTTACCAAACCATTTTCTCATTAATGAAATGAGGGCTATTTCATCTAGTGTGATTATTCTGTCTAGCACCCTAAGGCTTTTAGATTTTACCTGACTTAAGAAAAATATATTGCTTTAAAAAAAACTTGAAAATCTGTCTTTCTTTTGCTCGAGAGGCCACTGCACATTATTTGTTAAGCAACAGCTATACTGTAATTCTGCAGAGCTTAGTTCTGATATGAAAATGTTCTGTTTTTAGCATTTCCACAGTGTTGTCGCATACTAGGGTACCAATACTTTTCAGAGAATTTTAGATGTATGATCCCTTGATTATATCTGTGGAGTATTCCTCTTTTACATTTAGGTTGAAAACCTATCAAAGAAACAAACATCCACAGAATTAACCAAACATTTAGATCTGTGTAGTTAGAGGCTCTCTTTAATGATAGAAGCCTTTTGGATGGTTTATTTTTGTTAGCTGGGACAGCTTGTGTACTTGGAGGCAGAGTATGTGAGCGGAGTTGAGCGGAGTTGAGCGGTCGGCAATCCCGCTCATTGCTCATGCTCATGGAGCTGTGCTTGCTTGCGTACCACTCCGGCGCGCCATGTCCTTTCCAGCGGCTCAGCTAAAAACCACTCCACGAAAAAACTGCTGCTCCAAATTTGCCCCATTCATTAAAATCACAAATTAACCAACACCCATCTATTTTTGTGACTACCTGGACCTACCATTTGGTTTTAAAGTATTGAAACCAAACCATATGATTTGAATGAAAATTATTTTAATAAACATGAAAAGGTGAATGTAAGAAGCACTCATAATTTAAAATAGGCTACTTGTCATATTAAACAGCATATAAACACTCTAAATAGGTCAGGAACGAAAATGAATTATTTAGGCTATATTATCAAGGCTATAGCCTACAAATAAAAACATTGTGAAGCATTTGCCAGTGTGACAACTAGGCTTGTAGTGAGTCAGGGACATTAAGCGCTCAGCATTTAAACAACATTTCGTTGTATTAAATCATTATAGTCAAAAAAATAGTCTGTGATTTACAAATTAAACGAAAAATGCCTTATTAGGCTCAGTCAAACTGCCTTTGAATTCATTTTTAGAAACATGAGCTTGGTCAGAGTCCGTGGCTTCAGGCTCATGTGATCAGGCCAGCAGCGGAGAGTATCCTCTCCACGCTTGCAGAGCCACTGGGGATGCTAAACACCCTTTTGGCCACTTTTGCCAGACTGGGCAGGGATGCAGAGTTTTTTATTTATTTTTATATAGCTAGGCCTAAAGGTTTTTAGGCAAAATAACCCAATCAAAACGGAAAGCTCATTGTAAGTTGGAATATGCCAGGCCTATTGGGCCAAAATCAATTATGGCCTATTGTATAGATAATAGAACAAAAATGTGTCACGGTTTCGGCCGAGGCTGCTCCTCCTCCTTGTTCGGGCAGGCTTCGGCGGTCGTCGTCCCCGGAGTACTAGCTACCACCGTTCGATGTTTCATGTTTGTTTGGTTTTGTCTGTTTGTACACCTGTCCCTTGTTAGTGTTTGATTTTGTTTCCTATTTAGTTATCGTGTGTTGGGTCAGGTGTTATGTGTGATTGGTTTTTGTCAAGCTGTTGCTCTCTGTATTAACTCTCGTGTTTTGTTGTTTTTCGAGAGTCCGCACTGTGTGCGCTATCGTCGTTTTACGCACTGTGTTTATTGTGCGTAATTTGTATTTTGCCTCCCGGTTGGGTTGGCTGTTCGCCTGTTTGGTGCTGCTTTCGTTTACTAAAGTCTGTTCCCGAACGCCCGTGTTTCCTGCGCTTGATTTCCACACCGCATCTACACTCAGCTACTGACAGAATCACACATCAACCCATGGAATCAGCAGGAGCAACCGCGCCAACGGACATCATGGAGGACCGTCTTCGTGGGCAGGAGGACAGGATCAACCAGATCGGTCACGCCCTGGATCGGGTGATGAACACTCTCCACCGATGGGAAAGCAGCGGGGTACCCACGCCCCCACCTACCGGACCATCCCCATCGGTCAGTCCTCCTGTCCCCCTTCCGGAACCCAGCGGGATTCGGCTCTCGCTCCCGAGGGCGTACGACGGCTCCGCTGCCGGGTGTCAAGGGTTCCTGCTGCAAGTGGAGCTCTACCTCGCCACCGTACACCCGGCGCCCTCGGGACACGAGAGCGTCTCCGCCCTCATCTCCTGTCTCACCGGCAAGGCGTTGGAGTGGGCCAACGCCGAATGGAGGAGAATAGACGCCGCTACGATTACCTATGCGGAGTTCTACCGCCGCTTCCGTGCCGTGTTTGACCATCCACCAGAAGGGAAGGCGGCGGGGGAGCGTCTGTTCTACCTCCGACAGGGGATGAGGAGCGCACAGGATTTTGCTTTGGAGTTCCGGACTCTAGCGGCAGATGCAGGGTGGAATGAGCGGGCCCTCATAGACCACTTCCGCTGCAGCCTCCGGGAGGACGTCCAGAGAGAGTTGGCGTGCAGGGATACCACGTTGTCGTTTGACCAACTGGTCGACATGGCCATTCGGCTGGACACCCTGCTCGCCACCCGTGGACGTCCCGAGCCGAGCCCTATGGAGCTCGGAGGTGCTGGCGCTAGAGAACGGAGGAGTAGGAACCCGAGGGGGGCCGTTCCCTGCACCAACTGTGGCCGTGGAGGGCACACCGCGGCTAGGTGTTGGGGAAGGTCCCCCGGTGGAGGTGAAGGCAGGCCACGCATTGGGGAGTCCTCCCAGGTGAGTAGGCGCCCTACTTACCCAGAGCTTTCTGTCGTTCACATAACCTTGCCTGTTTGTTTCCCACAGGTTGCACCTCGTTCCCAGCATAAGGCGCTAGTAGATTCAGGCGCAGCTGGGAATTTTGTAGATCGCCAGTTCTGTGTAGAGTTAGGGATTCCTCTCCTTCCCGTTGATAAGCCTTTCCCTGTACATGCCCTAGATAGCCGTCCGTTAGGATCTGGGTTAATTAGGGAGGTCACAGCGCCCCTTAGGATGAAGACGCAGGGGGGTCATGAGGAGACGATTCAGCTCTATCTGATTGACTCTCCTGCGTATCCGGTGGTGCTGGGACTTCCCTGGTTGATTACCCATGATCCTACTATTTCGTGGCGAGAGAAAGCTCTTAAAGGGTGGTCTGTTCAGTGTGAGGGGCTATGTCTGGGTGTTTCCATAGGGGCGACCTCGGTGGAGAGTCCAAATCAAATGCCCGCACTGCATATTCCCCCCGAGTATGAGGATTTGACACTGGTGTTTAGTAAGACAAGGGCGGCGCAGCTGCCGCCTCATAGACAGGGGGATTGTGCGATAGATCTCCAGTTAGGAGCAGCACTCCCGCGGAGCCATGTGTATGCCTTGTCTCAAGAGGAGAGGAAGGCGATGGAAACTTACATCGCCGAGTCTCTGAGACAGGGATACATACGGGCCTCCGCTTCACCCGCTTCCTCAAGCTTATTTTTTGTGAAGAAAAAAGATGGAGGTTTGCGCCCGTGTATTGATTACCGCGGTCTCAATCAGATTACGGTGAAGTACAGTTATCCACTTCCTCTGATTGCGACTATGACGGAGTCATTACACGGTGCTCAGTTCTTCACAAAATTGGATCTCAGGAGCGCATATAACTTGGTGCGCATTAGAGAGGGCGATGAATGGAAGACAGCATTTAGCACGACCTCCGGTCATTACGAGTATCTCGTCATGCCATATGGGTTAATGAATGCTCCCTCAGTCTTCCAATCCTTTGTAGATGAGATTTTCCGGGACATGCAGGGGCAGGGAGTAGTCGTGTACATAGACGATATTCTGGTGTACAGTTCTACCTGAGCTGAGCATGTAGCCCTGGTGCGCCGAGTGTTGAGGAGACTGTTGGAGCATGACCTATATGTCAAGGCAGAGAAATGTCTGTTCTTTCAGAAGTCGGTCTCCTTTTTGGGTTATCAGTTGTCTGCGTCAGGGGTGAAGATGGAGGTTGACCGGGTGTCAGCTGTGCGTGATTGGCAAACCCCAACCACTGTGAAAAAGGTGCAACAGTTCTTGGGTTTTGCGAATTATTACCGGAGGTTTATCCGGGGTTTTGGACAGGTGGCAGCTCCCATAACGTCTCTGTTGAAGGGGGGTCCGGTGCGCTTGCGGTGGTCAGCTGAGGCGGACAGGGCTTTTGGGAGACTGAAGGACCTGTTTACCTCGGCGCCGGTGTTGGCGCATCCGGATCCCGCTTTACCATTCCAGGTAGAGGTAGACGCGTCCGAGGCCGGTATTGGGGCCGTCCTCTCACAACGGTCTGGCACACCACCTAAGCTCCGCCCCTGTGCCTTTTATTCTAAGAAGCTCAGTCCGGCGGAGCGGAATTATGACGTAGGGGACAGGGAGCTGTTAGCCGTGGTACAGGCCCTAAAGGTGTGGAGGCATTGGCTTGAGGGGGCTCAACACCCTTTCCTCATTTTGACGGACCACCGTAACCTGGAGTACATCCGGGCAGCTAGGAGACTGAATCCTCGCCAGGCCCGCTGGACTATGTTTCTAGCCCGGTTTGTGTTTAAAATCACTTACATC